CATCATGGTGCTCAGACAGAAGGGTTATCAGAAAGTGGGATGTGTAGGAGGGTGCGGGAAGAAGAGAGAGAAAGAGAAGAGAGAGAGAAACAGAGACAGAGAATTGACCAGGTGAGGGTGACAGCTCAGCTTTCAAATTTGTTGTGACATCACTGACCTGATATTAGTTGAAGGAAGAAAACAATTGACCCAGATGCAATTCAGGTCTTTGAAAACAAGCTGTTTTATGTAATCTATGCCAAACAAGGAGGTAAGAGACTTGGAGATGCATGTGATATAATGATGCTTACACTGATGCAAATAAAGATTTATTTAAAGAGTTATCTCAGATCTGAGTGTGAGTTGCCCACCAAAGAGCTTCTTGGGAATCCTGAGGCCCACATCACCACCCCCACTCACTTTCTTCTCCTCCCCCACTTTTTCAGAAGCCTGAGGATGCCTGCTGCATCTTGCACTGTAGTGCAAACAGATCCCCGCAAAGAGAGAGGAAGATAAAATGAATTTAAATTCCAAAGGGGTTCCAGTGCCGGTTTCCTAGTCCCCGAGTCAGCAATGTGTTTGTGAAAATTCAGTCTTTTTGTCTCCCAGTAAAAAGGAGCTAAATCTACATCGGTGGCCCAGTCTCGGGTTGCTATTCTTTGCATTTTCTATTCGAGTGAATGAGAGTGAATGAAGTGGCCGGGACCCTTCATTTGATCTACTCAATTGCATAAAGTGACAGAATTCTAATATATTTGTTTAATGCTCTTCAATGGGCTTTCACTTTTTTGCTTGCAAATGAAGCATCCGTGGGCAAAGTTTCATCCCCCTTTAACACTGGGACATATTTCATAACTCAGGCTGTGGTTTGAAGTGATCTTGAGAGGAGTTTTAGCCTCAAAAAGTGGAAAATAAAGAAACAGATGTGAAGTTATTGTAAATTCCTAGAGTGGGCTCTGGGGCTATTGTGCCCCCACGGCGGGCGGTCCAGGGGCTGTGCCTTTCATGCTGTAATTGAAACATATTAATTAGATAATTTGTTGTTAGTTTAAACGAAACAAATGCATCCCCTTTGAGGCTTCACAGCCGGTGGGTTGGGTTGTTTTTGTTTTGTTTTTGTTTGGGTGTCTCTGTGTATATGTGGCTTCAGGGGAAAAAAATTAATTGACATTTATATTAAGAATTTGAGAGGAGATCCTGATTCTTTTCATTTCTTAAATGGATACCTTTTAAAAAGGGAGTTTTCATTGGTAAATATATAAACCATGCCTCCACCCCAACCTCGCATACACTAATGCAAAACCCTCTCTTTGCGACACTCCATTGGCTTCTTTTTCCCACCCGCTCCTCAACACTTTACCCCACTCAAGCGAGCACCTGGCCAGATTTATGCTTCCAAGACACTCAATCTTCTCATCTATTAAAGGAATTAAACATACTGCTATAATATTTAAGCCATTCTAATGATCATTTACCAGCACTGCTCCTGCTAGTCTTCAGGCTTCTCAAAATCCCCAACTCAGGCAACAGGAGCAGTGAGAATTTCCGCAGCTTCTCTCTTGAGAAAGTGAACAAAATTCATCCATTGTGTAAGCATTTCCCCAATCACAGAGAAGGCCATTTTAAAAACACAGTTGAGTACAGAATCATGTTAAAAACCAAAAGTAACAGGACAGCCAAGTTTCCAAATCAAAAACCTAAATTTTAAAAAGGCCCAAATTTGCAAAATAGAAAATACAAGTTAGTTGTAACTCGATCTTCTGGATAAGATCCCTGAACGTACACCTCACTGCATGGTGTTGTCTCTTCCAGTTTTATTTTAAAGCTGTGTGTATTGACTTTGGACTTGAGCCAGGTGAAAAGATTTAACATGACAAAGAGAGTCATTGAAGGTATCATAGTTATAAACTTCCTTGTTTGTGGGGCCACTTCACCTAAACAGGGCGTAAGTCTCAAAGCTAAGGATGGAGCACGGTGGAGATGTGTTGTTTGGACTGCCTTTGGATTTCTGATCAAGGTGAAAATATTATCAGTGGATTTTTTACTTTACTCATTCAACTTTGTCTGAGAAAAGATGTCTGCAGTTGTGAAAGGAGGGCTCACAATGCCCAAGTTTTTCATTCTTTGCAATACACCATGACGAGCTTACTAGCTGAAAAGACCATTTTCAGACAGTGAGTTGAAATCACTCCATTGCTAAAAATCAGAAATAGCATCTGCATCTTACCCCCATTTATTAAATGTATGTATTGTACATTTATACATATATATTCTACTGCCTATTATAGGACAAATATTTTACCTGATTATCTAAGCTGATAATTTATAAAATGTTTAAGGCCCACATTAGCCCTTCATTCCCAGTTTGAAATCAGTGTTAGTAAATTCAATAAAATTAGAATATTCCAGAAATGACCTTAATTTTATTTTTCAGGAAATGATGACAATGTATTTAATTTTTTTATATGTAGATGATTTCTTGTTGAGAACAAAGTTTCAAGAGTTTCCTAGCCTGGGGTGGGTAAGTTTTCGAGGCTTTCTTTTGCTGATCTTGTTGATATAATTGTGAATTGGGCTTGATGAATGAGTTTAGTTGTCCCCTGTCTGACGAGCTTTAGTAGCTTCATGCATTTTAATCAGTCCAATGATTCATTTATTTTCCACCTTTTTTTTTTTTTGGCTGTGTGTGGGATCCTTCCTTTTTAAAAATGGTCACAACAGGATTAATTACCCTTTGCATTAATCCTAATTTTTTTTTTCAGATAACCCTCTAAATATGTAAGGGTCGCAGGTGCTAAGGATTCTCCTTATGGAGTATAGTGATCATGATTTTTGTGTGGGTTTCTCTGTACTGCACAAAGGTTTTTGTTTAATCATTTTACACAGTAAAGTGTTAATCACCATTTAAGTTTTTCTTTGTCTTGTAACTTCATTAGTTGAATACACACCTCACTCTGGAAATATTGTGACCCCCTTCAGTAAAGTTTCAGTTGGCCTTGAGCCATAAATTCTGGGCAAATTGTAATTCTCGGCAAAAATCTGAAGAAAAGCAAATACTTACAGTTAAGCATTTAAATTAACTTCATTCACTTCCTTAAAATAAATGCATCAAGCATTATTTTCCCATATGAATGAGTGAAAAGAAATCTGTTCTAATCAAAGTGAACAGGTTTCTTGATCATGCAAGGTGAACTTCTAGGTAACTTCTGAAAAAGAAAATTTCTACAACTGAAATAATTTAAGGAGCACAGAAATGAATACTCTAATGCATCAGAGTACGAGCACTGAGTAAACAGGTCTGCTTTACATGCTGTATCTCCATGTAGCCTCTACCTGATTTCTACTTAAGCCTTATATTCAGTATACTTTGTAAAATGTAAATTTTAAGATAGATAAATATATGAAGTATTGCATTTTTTAACGAGTTTTTCAGCACTACACCTTTGTACCTGATCTATTCTAGAAATACTTCCCTCTTTCCCCCGGCTTCAGGAATCCATTTGAATCATTTCTCCGCAATCTGCAAGTGGGGGAGATTGACTATTTTAAAAAATAAGATATGAAAGAGACAAACTATTCAGACAATGTATTATCAAAAGCATGGTTAGAGAAGCACTACATCTATCTTTTGTAAAGTTATTTTGCAGCAACTCTTCAAAAACACACAAAACTAAAATTTGGATTTACATATTTTAATGAGAAAATATTATTTGGACTAGATTCATAATTTAATGTAGACACCTTTTTAAAATTCTTTGTCTTAAAACAGGCATGCTGGGAACAAGAACATCAATATTTAAAATGCCATGCTAATTCTGAACAGGGAAGGAGAAAAATGAAAGGCAAAAATTTTACAGCCCTGATGACACTACAACTTTTTTTTTTTAACTTAAGCAGGTCACACCAGAACAACAGTTCGTTTTCCAGCAAATTACCTAAGACTCTAAAGGAATATAGCAAACAAAAGTGCATTTTACACAGTGTATAATCATTCCTATTCACAAGCATTTACATCTCTTTGCAGCCCTTTAGCTTCTTGGGAAAGTTCTTGTAGCAAACAGAAAGACTTGTCCATGGGAGACCTATCCGGTGACATCTCCTTCATGTTACCAGTCAGCTATCTAAGTTCTTCTAGGGTTGCCCTTGATGCTTTCATAGTTTGGGCTTATTTCATTTTCTTCTTTTTTTTTTTCCTTCCAACAATAAAATAAATAGCTAAAAGGTCTCTAAGTAATCGGAAAGTTAACATCCCAATTAACTTTCCATCCCCCATTCCCTCCCCTAAACCTGGTCAGAAATGAAGAGTAAACATTCACATTACAACAGGTACTTGTAAAGTGGGCTTTGCCCGCTCGCCCGCCAAGCAATACAGATTCAAGTTCACTGTTTACATTTTACCGGGCGCCTTTGTAAACAATGCTACAAGGTTACTTTTAGTTTTGTTTTGCTCGTGTTGAGGACTAGCGTCCCCTTCTCAGTTTGGCAGCCTCTCCCCTAACTCCCAGTGCCTGGAGCCTCTGGCAGGAAACAAAAAAACAAAACAAAACAAAACAAAACAACTCCGCAGAAGCTGGGAGGCTGGGCCGTTACTCCTACTCCGGGAAGCTGTGGTCCGCCCAGCCCCGGCCGGATGGGCGGAGGCGAGTGGGGTAGGAAGATTAGTGGTCCCTTTTCTCGGCAGATTTCCAAGACGTAAACGAGATCCGGCCCTCCGCTGTGCTGCTGCAGCCCTAAGGGGAGATCTGTTCCAGGAAACCTCTGAGGCGGTTTCTCTTGTCTTGGAACTAACTGCGCGGAGTCCAGAGCCCCGCCGGTCCAGGCCAAGGGAAGACGTGCTCCTCTCGGCAAAGGCGGGAGGCAGGATCTCCCCTGCCTCTTAAATGGGAGAGGGTTTGGGCGGGGGGGGGGGGGGGGGGGGAGCCGGGAATCGGAGGGCTTGGCTCAGGTGCCCCCTGCCTTCCCCTCTTGTGGAGGCGAGGACAGCTCCCATGCGCCTCCAGGCCATCTGCAAGTTCCTGGGTCCAAAACAAAGTTCTCCTGGTGGGGAGAGGGTTGGCCGAAGGTGAAATGGACAAGTTAGGGTGGCGGTCCTAGGCGGAGGAGGGCAGGGCTGGGAGGCTGGGAAGGCGAATAAGCTGGCGGGAGGGGGACAAGAGGGGGCTCGGGCTGTTGCGGGTCAGTGCACCGCCACCGAGTGCAAGGCGGAGGCCGGGCTGGTGAGCGTTTCACTGGGAGTGGCGGGGCTGCTTTGGCTGGTGGCTGTTTGCGAGGACGTGGGGCTGAGCGAGGGCGGCGAGTTCGAGAGCAAAGTGGGGATGGGCGCGGGCAACGCGGGCAGCGCGGGCACTGCGGCCGGTGTAGGCTTGATTGGCACCGGGATTGCGGGCAGCGTCTGGCCTGCTGCATGGCACAGCGGCTTCAGTGGCACGCCGTAGGCGCTGTAATCGCCACTAGCCATGGAGATGGGGGTGGCTGAATCGATCATGCCTGCGGAACCGTATACGTGTGGCCAGCCAGTGCCCAGCGAGCTGCTCATGGTAGTCAATTGGTTGGGGAGCGGGTAGGCGGCGGGCACCGGCTGCATGGCGGAGAAGGCCAGACCCCCAGGCATCTTGTACTCGCGAGCGATTATATTCTCGATGGCGAAGGGGTGCTTGAAGCCCGAGGGCTGTGCCACGCCGCCCAGGTTGTAGGCGGCGGCGGGCATCTGTGGCAGGTGCGTGCCGGAGGCCGCAAGCGCGCTGAGGCGCAGCTTGGCCTGCTGCTGCAGATACTGCGCGGCGTCGGCGGGCTTGCTGGGAGCCAGGTGGTCTGACTTGAGTACCTTGAAGCGCTTGCGGCGCCTCAGGAAGCTGCCGTTCTCGAACATGTCCCCGCAGCTGGGGTGCAGTGCCCAGAAGCTGCCCTTGCCCGGCTGGTCTGGCCGCCGCGGGATCTTGATGAAGCAGTCGTTGAAGGAGAGGTTGTGGCGCAGGCTGTTCTGCCAGCGCTGCGTGTTCTCCCGGTAGTAGGGGAAGCGGTCCATGATGAACTTGTAGATCTCGCTCAACGGCAGCATCTTCTCTGGAGAACTCTGGATGGCCATGGCGGTCAGCGAGATGTAGGAGTAGGGCGGCTTTTGGTCGCTGTACGTGTTGCGGCCGGGCCGAGGCATCTTCTTGTTTGCCCCCTTCTTGCTCCGGGTCCGCGCGGGCCGGCGGCTGCTTGGATCTGGACAGGGGAGAAGATAATGGGGGCGGGGGGAGCATGGATGCACAGACAGACACCGCGAGGTCAGCCAGCCAGGCCGAGTACAGACCAGACGTGGTGGGTAGGGGCTGCGGCGCCGGATCAGCCCGCGCCCGCACTCTTTAGCTGGCAACTTTGAGTGCAGAGTGGGGGCGGCCAGGGGGCGCGGGAGGGGAAGCCGATGAGCTGCGCGAGGGAAGCACAGAAGTAAGCTGGACCTGGAGCGGGGACTGGGGCAGGGATGAAACCAGAGGGCTCACCTTAAAGTTGCTCCAAGTTGTGCGTCCGCATCCGGGATGGCACTGCAACTCTCGGGTCCCTCCCAGTGCGCTGCCGGGACGCAGTGTCGGGTCTCGGCTGGGCTCCGCACGTCTCCGAGCTTCGCAGCTCAGCCCTGCAGCGCCGGGAGTCGACCAGTCCGCTGAGCTTCTGGCCGTGAGATCCCCGGGCGGCCAAGCTCGGCTGCAGAGTCCCGGTGCAGACGGCAGCAGGGCGTCCTCGGGGCTCGGGAGGGCGCTGCTGTGGGCTCCGCGGCTCCGCTGAGCTAGGTGGCTGCCTCCATATCCTCCCTCGAACCATCTGATAGTTTTAAGCGGTGACAGGAGCAGAAAAGACCCCTGTAGCGGCGCTTCATTAATGTGCCACTTCTTAGCTATCATATGACAATCGCCTTGGGAGGAGGAGGAAGAGGAGGGGGAGCGGGGGCTGCAGAGGGAGGGGACTGAGCGAGAAGGGAGAGCCCGGCCAGCTCTGGTTTCTTTCACACCTATTTACATGGACACCTTGGCCAATAGGAATCACTTCCATCTCAAGACTGGGCTAGGGGGAAGAGCCTCGGTCGCCGGTGGTGAGCGGGACGCCGGCCAGGGTGCGCGGTGTGAAGGTATGAGGAGGTGGCGGCCGCGGAGCAGGGATTCAGGCGACCACTCACGTTCACAGACCGAGCTGCCGCGCAGATGATGTTTGACATGGAAATTGCTTGGCTGGGGTATTCTGTTTCCTCTGCATTGTACCGGGTTTGTATTGTTAGCTAACTTAAGGCACGGCTTTCCCCTGAAGCAGACCCTTCTCCTGCGCTTGGCAATATGGGGCTGGTTGCATGGGATATTACAATGAAAATACACCCTTCCCCTTAGTTCTCCAAGATGCAGGTCAAAGTTTGATTTGACCTTCCTTGGCTACTGCCATAGCGCTACACACAGTGAGTGTGTAGCTTAAGTGATGGGGTTTTAAAAATACTTACAAAAATATAATCGGACAGCCCCTTGTAAAAACCCATTTTGTAAGTGTATTGACCAAGTTAAAAAAAAAAAAAAGTCTCTCTGGGCGAATAGGCAGGGTCTTCACTGTAAAAGTACTTTAGGAATTCAATTAGGCACAGGATGAAGGCTCTGGGGCTGTTGGGGCAGGCAGTGTGTGGACCTGGGGCAGGGCGTGAGTTTGTTTGACACACTTTATCACCAGATGAATGGCAGGGTCTCATGCTTTCCCCAGGTGGCTGGAAACTTCAGGAGTTAGGCATTGCATGGAGGTTTGCATTTTACAGCCGGAACTTCGTCCCCTTCTCCATCCCTCCCCCTTCTCCATCTCCCCCACCCCACCCCTGCAGTTGACAGAACATATTTAGAGCTTAGAGAGCCCAGCAAACGCTGCCTGCCGACCCACTAGAACAGCAGTACCTTCTAGACTCGACAGTTTTCCTTTCTGGGAGAAAGGACAGAGCGGGGATGTGCCTAGGGCCCTCCTGCTTGGTGCCAGCTGTAGGCTCCCTTTGGTTCAGATCAGTCTCCAGAGATTCAATGAATTATTATTATCATCATTATTATTATCATCATCATCATCGTGGGCGGCGGTGGCGGCATCATCATATTGCTTTGAAATAGTGAGTGGACCCTGCCTGCATGCACTTAGTCAAGGAGTAGACCCTAGGAGTTCCCACTGGTTTCTGCACATTCTCCAACCTTTATGGGTTTTTAAAAGAAATTCCTTTTACCTCGTTGTTAGCCTCTTTTCCCACTCAATACCTACTGCCCACCCTGAATCATCTTCAATCCGGAAATATGAGAGGTTGTTTTTTTTTTTTTTTTCCCCCAGGAGGAGGAGGTGATGGTAGTGTTGGTGGTGAGAGAGTTCTGGGTGTGAAGTTTGGAGACTTTTAGTGATATTAGAGCATTATTAGTGGAGCCGTTGGGATTTAGCATAAAAATCTTTTGGCGCACGTGCGTGCGCGTGTGCACACACACACACACACACACACACACCTCCATTAACCACAGTTTCGGAGGTGGTCAATAACTCACCAAAACGTAACTTAAACACGATGAATTTAGGAGATTAAACAATTTCATTAATATTGAAATGGCTCTCGCGTCTGGGCTGCCTCGCTTGAGATGCAAGCACACGTTTTTCAATATTAACAGAAGTGCTTGAAGAAAAGAATAATGTCACCTTCTTAATTCGGAAAAAATAACCAGGAGGAGGAGGTGGGTTCGAGGGGTGGAGGCGGGATGCTGACCTGTCTCTGGGGGCACGGCTTGAGAAGGGCAGATAAATCCTTGGCAGATAAACGGGTTGGATTCGGGTGGAACCTCCACGGAGCTTTGGCTAAAGGCAACGCGGTCCTTGCCTGAGCGGTGCGCGCTTTAGCTCCTAAAGAGGGGTGGCGTTTGGGGCTGTTACTTGGCGCGGCCCAGTTCGGCTTGAGGGTCCAGGGATGGGAGGAGCTGGGGAGAACTGGAGCCTAAGGGACCCCGGTGAAGAATAGTAGTGAGGGCTTGTGTTTTCCAGATGGAAAGGCGTTGGTCCACAGCTTTCGGCTTCAGAAGGCAGCTGGCCTCGGAGGTCCAGAACTAAGGGAGCTCCTGTGGCGGAGGCAGGTGTGCTCCTGGGAAGGAAAGGTACCACCATCGAAGCCCCCAAGGGTCTTTTAGAATCATCTTAGCAAAAGTGTGCATACTGATCTATAGAACGTAGATTAAAATATTGAGAGTGGTTGGATTGGGGATATGTAAGGAAAGGAGTGAAAGATCTCCGTTCCCCCAGTGAGGGCCATGAGGATTCTTTTCTGCAGGGTGTGTGCGCAAGCTTGCTGAGGGTGGGGGATGGGGAGGGAGAGAAATGTTTTCTTGTTTTAACAATTGCCATTTTGTTGCCTTGCAAAGCGCCTTTGTATGGCTGTCGAAATCATTGCGTGGAGTAAACAGAAGATTAACTAAATTCTAAGAAGTGGAAGCGTTTGGGTTAAAAAAAATAAGTTGAAATAAATCCTTGTCCATCTCCCCAGGGAAAGTTGTCACCAAGTCTGAGACGGGTGAGGATATAAGTAGGTATTCGTGTTCGAGGAATCTTCAAAGTTTGGCTAGGGTGAGGATGGGAGGTGAGGCATATTGCCTACACCCAGGATTAATTAAGGAAATCAAACCCAATAGCACAAGTTTACCTTGGGTGGAGTGAGGAGCTGTAAGATGCACATTTAAAACAGATACTTTACTACAGAATTCTATTTCACATCCTACTGAAGAGCCTGAGGGAAGGGGGAGGGGATTTGCATGCCATTTACAGCGTTTTAAGACCGGTATAATGAAGAAGAGGAGGGAAGGAGCACTTTCCAGAAATCTTGAAAAGTGCATCAGAGTCTATTGTACAGAACCCAAAGCAAACAGAGGCTCTGGGGAGGGGGCACATCCGACTTCGAGGCTTAGGGAGTTGTTGGGAAAACTGTATAAAATACACATAAGTCAATTATACCCATGTGCAAACCAAATGGAAATCTCTTTCATGCCATAGCCATTCATCGCCTCCGCAGAGCCCACCACCGACCACCTTTCTGCTTGGAGAGTTCGCAATAGCCTCTTTTCCCACAAGCTGGACCACACACGGCTACAGATTTCGTAATAATTTATGCTAATTTCCCTCCATAAATCCACAATTCGCTTCAGTGGCACCCGGGCTGCTGAGGGAGTAAAAAGGAGACAGAGGGGTGACAAATACAATATTGATTTTGATTCCTTCTGTTGTCAAGCAGGTGTATGTGTGCATGAACGGTGGGGCTGGGGTTAGGGGGCGGGGGCTCTAGGGTAGGAAAACCGTCCGGGGCCCTGCCAGCCCCTCCGTCCACACTCCAGAAAGTAACGCGCCTTGGTTTGTTAATATTTACCAAACACCGAGGGAGGTGGAGGGAAAGTACCCGGCAGCTTCCGAAGGTTTCCTAGGCGCCAAAAACAATACCCGCCTTCCCGACTTGGAAAGCGAACTCTGGGCAGCCTGGAGCGTTTAGGGGCTGTGTCTTAGTTTGCCCCTTCTCTTCTTTCTCTCTCCCTCAGAGTCCTTCCCTCCTTCTCCTCGAGTTCCCCACCCCACCCTACCCTCGTCTCTCTCTCCTCCTTCCTTACTTTACCCTTGTCCCTCACTTCTCTTCGCTTTTTATTTTTTTCCTCTTTTCCCTCTACTTTTTCCATCTTCTCTACCAAATGGCAGTGAAATGTGCAGGTGGGGGAAGGTCTTCGGGCGTGCGCAGCATCGAGTTTAGATTGTAGGGCGGCCTCTGGCCGGCCCCACCTTTCCAGGCCGCCTCCGCATTTGCCCAAGTTGTCGGCGCGCTCTGGGAAACCGCGCTAACTCACCGCGCCGCTTTGTCCCATCAGTCATTCTTCACCAAATCTGCACTTTGGTGGCGTGAAACGACTTAGCTTTCCTTTCAAAAGGATTTTGTTCCCGGGGTATTCAGCACTAAAACAAACTCCCTCAGCCTGTCAGCAGTCAATTTTTAAAAATTGTCGTTCTAAGTGTCCTGGAGGCTGTTTGTCCTCAGAATCTGAGCGCTTCCGCCGCCAGCATCCTCGCCTGGCATAGCCTAGCTCTAGTGTTCTAGATCTGGGGACAAGAGGGAACCCACTCAGTGAGTTGACGTGGCTGGGGCCACCGGACAAGGGCTTGCGGGTTCTTGGGCCACGGAGATCTGCACCCAGTTGGGAGCTGCGTCAGGGGAAACCTTTTCGGCCATGACTTTCCCAGGACCGCCCCGGGAGTTCGAGTCCACACTGCCAGGCCACTTCGACCGAATCTGATGGGAAATCAAACTGCCCAAGGAAGAGAGATGGGGAGGGGACACAGTGTGCCCTGTCATGCCAACCGTCAGTGAAAGGACTCTGTGCCCTCTCCCTCCTTGTTAGCCGGCGCCTTCACCCCCACCCCCACCCCCACCCTCTCGCGCAAGGCAGCCGGAGGAGCACACCTATTTTTCCAGATAGTAGGAAGGAATGTCAGCCAGGGAACTTTGGAGCCATGTATTTCACTGGTTGGTGACAGGGCTACCTGAGCTTTGGATCTTAAGTCATAACAAGAAGGTTGAAAATAAACTTTTGA